GACAAAACAGACGGAGAGAGGGAGGTGGTGGGCCCAGTTATGACTGGCTGCTCTGATTCGGTCTCTGCACACCCTGACCGGTGGAGCTCGACAGCAGTAGACTGCTGAGCGAATAGAAAACTGTGGGACTAATAAAATCATCTGGGCCAATGCCATGTACATCCAGACAATGAACCAGGGGCATTAGTGTCTTTGCCAGGAGCTGTTATTATATGAAGTTTCCATATCTATCTATTCCCAGGGACAATCTATCTGCACTGGAGCTGGAATAAATCCACCAGACTTGAGGAGGGAATGTTTGCTACCAGCCTCTGTTGGTGCAACCAACATAAGTGCAAGACAGCCTTCCCATCTGAAACCTAATATTGTTCAACTGCACCAAAAAACAGACACATTAGCTCAGACACCCTCCCATGCAACACACACACTGACCACCACAAAGACTGCCATCACTTTCTTGGGTAATTATTAAAGTGCTTCTGGAGCCAGGCCCATTGGGGCATCAGGTGAATGAGAGACATGCATAGGCACATGCACAGAAGCACACGCATACACACACATAGACACACACCGGCACATAAACACACACAAGTCATAAATGTCTCCACAAAGTTGCAAACACATACATTGGGGTATATGATATCACGCAGGAACACACATAAAAACATTTTCTTTCCAGCTTACTTTAAGTAGTTGCAATTAAGATTGAGCTTTACAGCCAAGGAGTGTCATTCTGGGAGGAGCCGAGAGAATAAATCACCCACAGCTGAGCTACAACGACTGATTGTTCAAAGAGAGGTTGGTGGACCGAATTTGGTGGACCGAATTTAATCGGACCGAATGTCAAATTTTTTTTTTAAATAATAGTCCTGACCTATCACCCCCCCCCCCCACCACCACCACCCATAGCTCCTTCTGTGGAGAAAAACAGAATTAAAGATTAGATATATGGGGGCATATGAAGTGAGATGGGAAAGAAAAACACTGAGAAATGTCCCTATGGTGTTACTACTTCAAAAACATTACACTTTAGAAACTGACTGCCCTCATCTATTAGATGTTCAACTGGAATTTTCACTCTTGTTTGTCTGAAATGGCGCCACTCGGCCGTCCCTCCCGACCCACCCCCACTCCAGTATCAATCAACTTCCCATTTTTTCCTCGGAGGAAGAGAGAATATAACAGCTGTTCCTGAGCCATCTCCACAAAGAGGCCACGAAATCACCAGGAGATGTGGCCCTGCAGGGGCAGCCCACCAGTCAAGGCAATGATGCTGTGTCCAGCACCCAGCCAGACAGGACATTTCAGCTGCCCATTCCACCTTCCTTCATAAACCCATTAAACCCTTATGGCTTTCTGACAATCCATTTTTCTCTGTGTGTCATTTTATTTTCTCATTTCCAGATAATCAACCTTTGCTTCAATCAGTTTAAATATGACAAAACTGGGTGCCATCATCGTTTCTCAGTGACACCTTTTAATTTCTTCCAGTGATGACAAAAAAAATATTTTACAATGCATTGCTTCTTCAGACCAGCACTATAAGTGCAAAACTGGCCTAGTCAGCTCCAGCTCCGCAACAACAGCCTCCTTCTGAGATGAGTCAGAAGTTTCACCTTGACAGGCTGCCTACTCCTGGGTGGAAGGTGTGGAGCCTACAGAGAGTCGGAGGATGATTACCAGATGGCAGCCAGAGGCTGAACACAAGAGGAAAGAGCCATGACAGAGGTTTCATCCTACGGCTTTCTTATTCACACACACAGGATATCCAGGACGATTTGTTTTCATGGATGCTGCATTATTTCAAAAGCCAATGGATGAACCAAAACATCCTTTGTCATATTTACATAAAAGGGCTGATGAAGAGAATTGCTTCCCTCTGGTGGACATAGAATGTCATAGCATATAAAAACATTAAAAACCAATACAATTTTTCATTCTGGTTATAAAAGGCTAAATGAGTTCAATAAAAGTGTTGAAATGTACATCACTTTGTGCATGCTGTTGTGATGTGACAGTGCCATGTCCTTGAGTATGATCAAACCCTCCAATCTCATACTGAAGGCACAGGAAAAATCAGACCCCAATTCCCTTTTCACTTAAACCAATCTTCCAAACAATTTTCAAGTCTTTTATTATCCCTTGTTTTGAAACAAAATCAAAACTAGTCACATTCACCACATCTCCTGTTCCTTTATTTTCTTTAAGATGGTTCTGTTAACAAAGTTGTTGTGCTGCATCTTCAGTCAGTGAGCTGAGCTACTTTTACATGTCTTCTGTATCAGTTTGGGAATCAGCGAAGACTTACATGACTGGTCTACAATCGACCCCCACTCTCAGTGAGGCCTGCTCCTCCAGACAGTAAAATCAGGGAAGATGGGAGATGTCTGTGTGGTAGAGCTTTAAATGGGATTTGATCATTTCACCATGCCATAGATAATGTGCCCTATGAAGGGGTAGGGCAGGGGGCACTCTGGCAGAGACATGACATACGGCAGAACAGGAGTAGTGCTGACACTGCAAATGCAAAGTGAACAGTGTGTATACTCCCTGCAGCTCCTACAAGCAAACTAAATAATGCCTTTATTAATTCTCCATCACTGGCAAATTCGAAATGACTCAATCTGAAAGGACAGAACATCATGTCAAATACATCCAAAATGTAAATCAATACGACTGAAAGCAGAAAGACAAGTCTTTCGCCTGAATCTCTCCATTTAACACACAGGTGCTGGAAGAGTAAGGTCAAAGGTCAAGAGGGGCCCTTTCAATGAGCTCATTATAACATTTTGCAGCAAGCAAATTATGAAGAGCCCACAGGGTTATGCGCAGGATCCAGGCAAGTCTAATGATACATTCAATAAATTTAATGAGCCATTGCTGCATTACATTATATCCACACGAGCTCATCTATTCACTGTGCATCTGAGTTAAGGCATTTCTCAGCAGAATATATCCATAAACACGATACATGCAATATACAGAATACACCCAATACACAGAATACATTCATCCTGCATACATGTGCATGATGCTACACAGCCTGTCTGAGCTTCTCAATTTGCATGGGATTTCATCTGTCAATATAATTTAAAATTGCTGGTTGATGCATTTATTCATATCCAGATTTTTATGCGGATATTGGGGGATGGGAAACGGGAATTTAACACACTTTTCGAAGCAGAATAGGGTAAGCATTCTGCATTAGACTGCTCTAGGTCCAGGGGAGCCTACCCTGAACTGACACTCGCAAGAAATGGTGCAACTCAGATCAGACTCTGGGATTACACATGTAGGTGGACGTCCAGAAGAGGAAGATCATTCTCTCCACGAAGCTGACATGGTGTCACACCAGTAATGCTAATAAAGATAGATCTGCCATAATATGGTTAACCCCCCTGTTGCGAATGGAGGTATCCAGGGAACGGTCACATAGGCAAACCTCACTATTCCCGAATCTCTCAAGTGGAATAAATCTGCCACCATGGGCTGGCCAGTGCCTCCCAGCATGACACACCACATATGCTCAGCGATCGATATATGACAAACACAAAGGTCAGACAAATATATGACCAAATTTAGTTCCCAGGACATCATACATTAAAGGACAATAAACGCCCTTTACCTGCCATGGATTTCACCAAGATTCACCCCCCTCCCCAGAAAATAAAACTAGACTTCACAGTCCTTGTCAAAAGCAATCTTTAGATTTGTACTATTTGGATTTCATGGTCTTATTTCTGTTGCCATGACACTAAGCTTCATGACAATGAATCCTAGCTTTTGGAGATTGTTAAGCCAATAGGATGAAAATTTTTCCAACCCTGTTTCAGCAGCACAAGGTGAAAATCTGAAGGTTGCTTCAGCTCCAGAAAATGCACAACTCCATCAACTTCACTGACAGCTGAAGCCTCTTGTGTAGGGTCCAAAAACAAGCATATCTGGCTCAACAGGTACAACGTCTGTGACAAATTTGATGTTTATACTTCAACTTTAGTATTCACCTGTTGCCAAGGTTCTTCGTTGAATTTAAGCACCATGTGTTAAAGGGTTTTGCAGCGGCTGAGCAGGTGTTTGTCTTTGTCTGTCAAATCTTCTAATACTGGCATCCATCTGTCTCCCTCTCCTCGCTTTCCTGCCCTGTCCTCTCTTTGTTATATTTTATTCTGACACATACCACAGTTATGTGCCATTAATCAGACCCCCATGTATGAGAGTTGAATGCTAAATTCCTTTCCTGTTTTTCCTCAACCCCACAATAGAAAAGGACACATTAACCTTCCAGGCTGCTTCAATTTCCCTCCCTGAACACAGCAATACTGCAAGAAGGAGAAGTTCCCCAATTGTCTTGCCTGCAAGTTCCTCTCCTGAATGATTGTGTGTGCGTGTGTGCATTTGTGTGTGAGTGTGTGTGTCTGCGCATACACACACTTGTGTGCCACTGTGAGGCAGTTCCCGCTATGCTATAAATAAGCTCAGGCTGTAGTGAGAAGCAAAAGCCTGTGGAGGAGAGTGACAGCAGAGGGCACACTGGCCTCCCGCTCCATGAGAGGTGTAAACTGAAACCAAAGCCAAATCCAATAAGTATGCAGAGCATAACCACACAGCGCAAGAGACAGCAGAACACTATGCTGTAGATGTTTACACACATCAGACTGACCTAAAACCTGAATGGGAAAAGAATTCTGAAAAAAAGAAATGTGTAAACCCATAGAAAAAAGTTATTTGGTTAGAGCGAGTGCAAATACCGGTTTTTCCAAGGTCAGACAAGATGTGTGCATCTATTCGCATAGATCGATTTTTTCCCTGAATCTCAGTAATGTATGAAATCTGAAACTATATTCTAAACAGTCAAGTCTGCCTTTTGAAACCCCATGGAAAAAAACATGCTGAAAGTCGAGCCGTTTTTGTGAAGCTTCCCACTCACAGAAGATATTTTCTACTTGTCTTGCTAAAGTTTTTCAGCCATGGCAGAATAATGAAAACCATGATGTTCTTACCTTGAACCTGGGCACATGTGGATTGAGGGCAGAGGAGGAGGATGACAGGGAGGATATTAAGGAATGTCTTGGGCAGGAGGGCAGTGGGCACCTTACTGTCCCATCTGGTGGCCATCGCAACATCAGGAGCTGAGGCAGAAATGGTTCAGATCATGAAGGGCCATAAAGCATCGAGCTTACCTGCACAACTGAGCAGGGTTGCTGTGCTCCTGGACTAAAGGTTAGACAGAGGTGCTCTAAAAACAACTAAAAAAAAACAAGCAAAAGTGCCTTTGCATTGATGGCCATCCCAGCTGCTCATGAAACTGGTTTCATTTAAAAAAACAGAAAAAGTGTGGAGTAAACACAATGAAACTCTTTTGTTAGTCATACTCCGAGTACATCAACATGAAATGCAAATTCTCAATTCAGAATGAAACATTCATTACACAAAAGCTTTTAATCAGCTAACAATAAATCAGAAATTATTGATTTGAAAAATTTGTGCAGGGACAAAATTTACTGCTGCTTTCATACTTGATGAAGTATTATTTCTACATCTACATCCAGTGTATACAGCATTTGTAGATTAAGTACTATATTGGCAGATTTTACATTTCTGAGTAATTGTAGTGCACAAAATACAGTTTTGAGCCAAAACAATAAAGCTAATCATGTTGACTATTTTGTAAAAACCGTGATCTGGATTATATTAGACCGTAAGCTAACTTGCAGTCGATATACTGAGACAGACAGAAAGACCACAACTGCTGACAGGGTGCTGACCAGCCAAGATTCGCCAATGCTATCCAATGTGGTACAAAAGAACAGAAGGGCTACTGTCATACAAATGGCAGATCATTTTAATGATGGTCTCAGGAGTAATGCTTGTGGTAACAGTATCCTAAAACATATACAGTTATGTGAAAAAAATTGGGACACCCCATGAAAACCAGTGTCTTCATTACCATATGATTTAATCTTCATTGTAACGATACTGAGAGAATACAGTAATATAACTGAACAAATAAAACTAAAGAAATGTCTTTTAAAAATAATTTGTAAAATGTAATCAGTAGAAAAGTAATTTCTTGTAAGGACACCTCTACATTCATTCCTACTTTAAATGCCTAGAATTACATTCAGGTGGCACTGAGGTACCACTGTATTTTAGAGGAGCCTGTCATATTTAAACCTCAGACATTTAGTTTAGATTGCTCTTGATTGTTGATATGAGTGGTATCACCATGGTGAGATCCAAAGAGCTCTAAGGCCTTCAGAGAGAGTCTGGGAAGGGATATAAATAGATCACAAAAGAATTCAAAATCAGTCATTCCACTGTCTAGAAAATAATTTACAAGTAGATAACATTTAAAACAACTGCCAACTAGAGATGCATCAATCGACCAGCCAGGGATCGGAATCGGCCAATTTTCAGCATCCGTTTTACGCATCCACCACACATCATATGCACAGTGGCGCAGGCAATAGCCTCACTATGACTCATAGTTACACGCTAACATGTTTGTGTGGAAGTTCTCCACTGTAAGCGAAGACAACACAAAGCTTACAGTCTGTAATACAGTGGAAACTGCTTATAGTGATAGCATCTGTCTGAGTGAAAGTGATCAGTATAAGTGAATCATCATTATATATATATTTTTTTTCTTTTTCTTAGTCTCAGGCTGATTACCATCTAATTGACATTTGTATATTTATTACATGTATATAAGGTAATAAAATGGACAGGCCGCTATTTACTGAATTTTATTGACTCTTTAAAAATAAACTTCAGCTGTTTCAACCACATTTCAAATTACAGTACTTCACAAATTAAATTACTGCACTGTGTATAATTCAAATATGCTACAATACAATATAGTACTGTACATAAAATACAGCTTATTGTAGTTTCACTGCTGCATCTCTCGTTTGGCAGTTAATCATAAGCTTTGATGACTCAATATTTATCATTGAGAGAAAATAACTTTCCGTTTCCCATCATGTTTCTGAGCATGCAACATTAGCCTCAATTACTGTTGTTTTACTTTTCTCCATATGTTGCCATGTGTAAAAAACCCTAAATGAACACTGTACTAGGTAATGAACTACTTGATTACTATAAGCAAATTATTTAAATAGCATTTGTCCCAAGATTTTTGACATAAATAAGCGGTTGATCACTCTAAGCGTAATCGCTATAAGCAGTTTCCACTGCACATGTAAAGTAAACCATGGGGGAACCACCACGAAAACCTGGTGAAACATTGGAGGTAAACTTTAAACTTATTTTTAAACATATATTACATAATCTTAAAAAGGAATAATCATTAAAATTGCAAAGCTAGCTAAAGTTTTTTAAAACATTAAAAACATTTAAAAGTAAAAACATTTTAGCAAAATTTTAAACCCCTATGCTATAATGTCCATATAGTATGAAGGTATGAAAAAGCCTGACCTTTATCTTACTAGCGATGTAAGATTCAAAATTCAAAGAGTTTATTGTCATATGTACAGTAGAAAAGCGCATTTCTCTGTGCATTGAAATTCTTACTTTGCTGTATGTGCATAACATGTGATGTTGGTATTAATAATATTACTGTACACCTATTATTATATGGAAGAGTATCCACAGTATTCTTGAGTTCGCGCCATTACCCCTGATTCATAGCGGAAGACGTTTTTTTACTTCCGCTTGCGCTGTTGTTGACAGTTGCGGGGTTACACCTTCACTGTTGATAAAGGTTTCTCTCACTGTAGTTTCTTTTACCTGGCGTAAATGGCAACACATTGGGGGTGGATACACAGTAGAGATGTTTTAAAAAGCGGCGAGGACAGTTCAGTAGCAGTGCCTCACCCGTCACTTCTCACAGACTGGGTAGATGACATGAAACTATGGCCCGATGTTAGCTACATCGACATTATTAATTACCTCGTATTTTCCGAAGGCGTTGATGGCAAGGAATTGCGTAATTACAAGAGCACCGAGGCGTATAATTACCTGCACAGCAACAAAATTGATAAAGTACTGCTCAACAAACAAAGCGACTTTATTTTTCTTAAAGCAGCTGTACAGCCGAGCCAGAGCGTTAATCAAGCTAAACACTTAGCATGAGTAATGCTAAGGGAAAGTGGAGTAGTGGAGACAGTCGGCTGTTCTTGTATCGCCAGATCAGGGAAATCATGTAGTTATGCGGCTGCTATTCTGTGGAAGGTATATCACTTATCTGGATATCAGGAGCCTGTTTCACAAAGCAGGGTTTCTTGCTTAGTCGGATAACTTGTTGGATTTAAGGTAATCAGGGCTAAATGTAAGTGCACAAAGATAAAGTGCATCTACTGTAGCTCAGACTACCTTAAATCCAACAAGTTATCCAGCTAAGCAAGAAATCCTGCTTTGTGAAACCGGCCCCAGAATGTTTAAATCACTGAAACAGAAACACTGGACTGGCCAAAGGCTGTGATTGGGGAGTCACACCGCTGCCATCTAGCTAAGTACTACGTGGAGTACTGTTTACATGTGAAAGCCACTCGTTAAAGCTTTGTGAGGGCTGTATGCTGTACAATCACACAAAGATTAAAATAATATAAAAAAAATAAAAGTCGGTACATTAAGGGCAAATTTACAAGATAAGAAAAAAATATAGTTATAAAAGAGAAGAGTTATAAAAGAATGCAGTTATAAAATATTAACTGTATTAATTCTTTAATATTAACTGCATTATTACAGTTTTTCCAATCCTCCTACCGCGGCATACAGTGCAGTGCGTAAGGCGCTGGTCACGGGCAGGCCTTTCGAAGTTGTTGATGCTCAAGGCAAAATGTTTCCAACGCGTTTTTCAGTTTTTTTAAATTATTGTGACAGCCGACAACAGTACACGTTGAACCCGAGCTCATCCTCGAACAGGTAAAGCCGCCAATTACAGCACAAAATAAACGATTTCGAGTAACCGGAATTATAAAACCGGACTGCGGAAGTAGTGGTCTGTCATGGCAGCCTACGAACGCTCTTACAGAAACCTGTGGATAGTACACTTCAGTTTTATTTGGAGGTTTCTACCCTATAGACTTTTTTACAGAGTTGTTTAAGTGAGAGAAGATTCTGTAACTTAGTGCAGATTGGGGGAAACTGTAAAGTTTAACCATTTATTTATTTTTAAGAAAAAAATTGCATTGAAGAAAATTTGATTTTTGTTTGTATATGCTGTCAATTATAGTTCTTAGAAAGAATCAGAATCGGCAAAAATCTGTATCAGCATGTCATTAAAAATCGGAAATCTGAATCGGCCAAGAAAATTGCAATTGATGCATCTCTACTGCTAACATCGCCAATTGCCTTCCTAGCAAGATCAGCCCGAGACCAGACCGCATGATGCTTAAAGATGTTTCAACAATCCTAGAATGTCATCACAGGACCTACAGGAAGCTCTTGCCACAGTCGACGTCAAAGTTCATGTCATCTACCATCAGAACAAGACTGCACAATTTTGAATTTCATGGGAGGTATACAAGGAGGAAACCCTTGCTATCAAAAACAAAATATCAGGTCAAGACTAAAGTTTGCCAGACAACACATAGACAAAGATCAGGACTTCTGGAACAATGTGCTTTGGACAAGTAAATCTAAAATTATTTGGACACAGTAACAGAAGACATGTTAGGTATAAGCCAAAGACAACATTTGAGCCAAAAAACAATACCAACTGTGAAGCATGGGGTGGAAATGTCATGGTTTGGGGCTGTGTCTGTACACAAGCACACCTACAGGCAATTGAGTAACTCCAATTAGCCTCAGCATGTCTTTGGACTGTGGGGGGAAACCGGAGTACCCAGAGAAAACCCCACGACGGCACGGGGAGAACATGCAAACTCCACACACATGTAACCCAGGCAAAGACTTGAACCCAGATCCCAGAGGTATGAGGCAACAGTGCTTACCACTGCACCACCATGTCGCCCCTAGCATAAAGCTATTTAGTTTGTTTATTAAAAAGACATTGTATAGACCTGTTCTATAGAAAAGGTAACCTTAAATGACTTTTGGCGCTATATAGAAAATAAAATTAAATAAAATTAACTTGACCTTCAAGGGGGGGTGGGAGGTGTAATTGGGGGGGGGGCGGAGCACCCCACTAATATAATGGTAGGGGAAACACTGGTCCTCCATAAGCTCATCTTAATCCTACTGAAGATTCATGGAAAGGTCTGAAAATTGCAGTGCGGAGATGCCACCCTTCAAACCTGAGACAGCTTGCACAGTTTGCTCAGGAAGAGGGGGCCAAACTACCTGTTAGCAAATGCAGACGTCTCATTGTGAAGTACAGAGATCGCTTGTTGGCACTGATTGTTGCAAAAGGTGGTGCCACAAAATATTAAACTAAGGGTACCATCTTTTTTGTCCGTGCCATTTTCATATATAAAATATTCAACAGAATCACTAATCAAAAGGAAAGTCTGACTTGTGTTAAATATGGAATAAACATTAAGGGATGCCATTCAACTTTCATCAGTTTCAAATTATTTCAGAGATAGTTGTGTTTTTTTGTTTTTTGTGGAAGGGTACTGACAAATTTGTCCACGTCTGTATAAGGGAACATTACATTGGAAATCTTTGGTTTGTCAAAACGCCATGTCTCTCAACTTATCATTTTCAATGAGGCATGTGGGCTGTCTTTCAGCTTCTGTGTGAGACCGAGGGAGCACTTCATCCATTCAAAGAAGGAAAGCCTCTTGTTCATCAAAAGGTCATCTGCAGAACTCAGCTTTTTAATACTGAGTAATAAAATGAATCAATGTGCAACTAATGTGTAGTACAGCTTGGGCTCAACCAGGTACAGAAGGTCTTCACCTGCATCAGCAGTAAAGGGTAAGGACAGCAGGGGCAGCCTACCACTGGAGCGATGGAGAGAGCAAACTATTAGAGGCAACATGCTAACACAAGTAGGGATAAACTAAAGAGGCTGATGGGTGGATCTCATGGATGGCATGAGACTGGCTCCTAAGTGTCAGAAGTGACATAGTCATTTCACAGCCATACCGGAGTGAAGAGCTGAAAAATCAATAGACCTGCACTTCTAGTGGTCTCACCCATTCCTCCCAGAAGTGAATCATGAGAGTACAGGCTCCCAAGAAATAAGCACTGCAGCAGTGCCTTAGTAAACCTGACCGCTTGTGAACTAGTTGAGCCTAGACTAAAGCAAACTGAATGGCTAGTGGTTAGCATGCCTCCAGGTGCAATACAAATTCAGTGTTGGGTCATATCTGATTTAAGAAACAGTCATAAATCCAAATGTTTCAAACAGGTTCAACCACAGGTATATCCTGTCTATTTTTATTCCACTCACTGAGCTCAAATATTCTTTTTTAATCTGTAATAAAGCTGTGCTTATGTAGTGCTGTTCCATTAAAGGGTTTTAGTTCCGTTGACTGCAATGTTTCTGACATCAGTGCTTGAATACCATATAAAGTTCATTTAATCCCATCCCTGAGGCACTTTAATCTTTAAAATTTCTTAAACTTTCTGAAATATCTATGAAGATCCAGATTAATGTAACATAATATAATGGAATGGACACATTCACCCTTGTTACTTTGTCAATACAACATTAACTCCTCCCTGTACTACCATACATTACTGCACTTTCACACCATGCTGATATAACCTTAAATTCATTCAACTTTACTCCACATTTCCCTATGGCCATCTACCCTCTAACCATTCAATATCTTACAGTTACTGCTCAGTCCCCCCAGCACATTTTACCTGAGTTTCATCCACCCCCGGTTGAAAAATGTGAGACCCCTCTCACATTGGTTCAGTCCCCCATAAATCTACGCTGCCTGTCATTCTCCAAGTGTTACAATTTGCATCAGGAGTAATTAAGGATGCAGGCGAGAAGAGGGTGGCGTGCAGCTCATCCATATCCTAGTCCAATGGCAGGCCACTGCTGGATGGTGGCCTAGGAGGCACAGATTGGAGAGGAGTGTGGTGGTGGCCAAGCAGTCTTATGTTTGTAAGCTTGTGTTTCTTCCCCCCTTCCCATGCCCTGCAAAATTCCCCATCATACAGGTCAGACTAAATATTCAATATGACCTCTAGTCATCATCTATAGCAGCAAGTTAAGTAAAAAAATAAGACACCAGGAAGGATGACAAGAGGCCAAAGATAGGTCGTTATCCATGGTCCTGAATCAGTAGCTAACGGTGGACCCGGCTCAGTCTGAACAACACACTGTGTGCACTGGGTGAGGCACAGACATGCTGACAAAATGCAATTATGCACGAGCCCTTAAGTGCCAAGAATAAAGGCACATAAAAATGAAATGCGGACACGTGAAGCAAATTCTGCTTTTCTGGAAACATATGGTACTATGTGCTTCACGGTAAAAACTATTTACAACTGTTCAACAACATACCTTCTACTCAGAAACATACCCTCTATGCAAAACTGCACAGTGTATTATTAACCGATAATCCTCCTTTTTTGAGTGAAAATATTGTTGTGACTGATAAGTCTCACCTATAATTATTGCATCTGTGTGCAATTCTATACAGTGGTATGCAAGTACCTCCTGCAAGCTCCCATGTGTGGGAGCATTATTGACCTTTGCTCCTTTAACTTTGTACCTTTGAACAGATTGAAAGCTTTTATACATTATTACACACAGATCAAATCTGAGAAATCACTCAGACATATTTACTACATGTGGGTTAAAATAATGCTCATGAGAATCTGTCTTTATCACCACATAAACAATCTCTCCTGGTTATACTAATATGTGCCTCCCAGCCATCAAGTGAGAGACCTGCTGGACTACATATGATCAGCTGTATTATTCCCCTACAGAATTACCACAGAAGATTTCACACAGCCAGGGGGCATATTTAACAGTCCCTAAAGTCACCTTCAAATACGATCCTTCTTCCAGCAAATATCTCATTCGCTGCGGGGGTACAGCACAAGGCTGCATTGTTAAT